TATGGAGATTCTATTCTGAATATAACATGTTGTGTTGATCTCTTCTTCCCAGAAGTTCTTAACAATGTTAGTCTCATTGATTATGGTTCTGGCCATTTCTTGTAAAGTTCTGTTCTTTTGTTCTACAACTCCGTTTTGTTGAGGAGTTATAGGACAAGAGAAATCATGAGAGATGTCATTCTCATTAGAAAATAGTTCAAATTTTTTGTTTTCAAATTCTCCATCATGATCACTTCTGACTTTAACAATTATAAGGTCTTTTTCGTTTTGGACATGGTTACAGAATGCAAAGAACATAGAATGTGACTAGTCCTTGTGTCTTAAGAACTTTATCCATGCCCATCTGCTATAGTCATCTATGATCACTAATCCATACTTCTTGCCACTAATGGATGTAGTTTTCACTGGTCCAAATAGATCTATATGCAGAAGTTCTAATGGTCTAGAGGTAGAAACAACATTTTTTGTTTTGAAAGAAAGTTTTGAAAACTTGCCTTTTTGACATGCTTCACACATAGCATCTGAGCTGAAATTCAGGTTAGGAAGTCCTCTGACCAGATTGAGTTTGTTAGTATGAGATATTCTTGTCATACTAGCATGCCCCAATCTTTTATGCCAGACCCATTGCTCATCGTTAACAGACAATAAACATTTTACATTCTTACTTTTTAGTTCAGAGAGTTTTATTTTGTAAATGTTGTTCTTTCTCTTTCCATTAAAGAGGACATATCCATCTTTCTGACTAATTGCTTTGCAGGACTTTTGATTGAAGATTATATCATAACTGTTATCAATTAATTGACTTATGGATAACAAGTTATACATTAATCCATCCACTTACAAAAAATTAGTTATAGAGGGAAGCGTACAATTACCAATAGTTCTAGAGCCAATAATCTTTCCTTTCTAATTTCTTTTGATATCTATGTAGCCTCCAGATTTAAGCTCTAGGATTTGGAACATATGCTTTCTTCCCCTCATGTGTCGAGAGCATCCAGAGTCTAGGTACCAATATTGGTGTTTCAGTCTTGCTGTTAAAGATATCTGCAACATAGATAATTTTATCCTTAGGTACCCATATCTTTTTGTGTCCTTGTTTGTTAGAGTTTAACAAAATTCTATTTGAATTTTGGTTTAGCAGAAAAAACATTACTAGTATATTTTATGTCATGTGTGTGCCCATAGGTGAAGTGAGAATACATAGGTGTTCGTTTAATGACCATATCTTTAACTTTCTTAGGTTGAGATATTTTTCCCTTGTATCCTATTCATTTTCTTCCATTTCTGCTAACTCCATAGATCATTGAAGCCATCTTGCTTCTATCTATGTTTTTAGCAAGAAATTTTTGAAATCTATGATCATATTCCTTTATGATCTTATGAGAGTTATTAGGAACTTATGAGATAGTTTCTTTCTGAGCATTTTATAAATTATTTTTTAGTTTAGGAATTGTTTCTTTCAACTCAGCTTTCTGATCTCAGTTTCTTAGTTTCTTCAGAGTCAAACTAGATCCTTAATCAGGTTCTTGTTTATGACTCGAAGTTTCTGATATCTTTCAAGATTTTCTGACAGACTCTCTTCTAATTAAGATCTAGAGAAGTTAGAGAATACCTCTTCTGCCTCTGAGCCTGATTCTGATTCGGATGATCTAGTGTCTTCTGATATGTTAGCCATTAGGGCTATGTTAGCTCTTTCATCTTCTAATTCTATTTCAACTTCAGAAGAGTCTGAGTCGTCCCATGTTGCCATAAGGCTTTCCTTCTTTTCCTTAAAGAGCATCTTTTTAGGTTTCTCTTTTTAAAAATTTGGACAGTCTCTTTTGTAATTCCCTTGTTCATTGCATTCATAGCAGATAATGTCTTTGTTACTTGACTTTTTGTATCCACAAGATGGTTCAGAATGATTTCCTGTTCTTCTAGAATTTATGAACTTCCTTTTCCTGTGCTTCCACAGCTGATTGACTCTTCTGGAGAGAAGATACAATTCATCTTCTTCTGATGAGGATCCACCATATTTTTCTTCTTTTTCCTGCAAAACTTTCGATTCATATTTTTTGTTAGATTTAAGAGCTAAATACTTACCTTGCTTATGGAGCTCATCTTCTTCTAACTCTATCTCATGACTTCTCAGGGAGCTGACAAGTTCTTCGAGAGAGATTTTGTTCAGATCTTTGGCCAGTTTAAGAGCTGTGACCATGGGTCTCCATTTCTTGGGTAAACTTCCCATGATCTTCTTTACATGGTCAGCAGTTGAGTATCCCTTTATCCAGAACTTTTAACCCAGCCACCCGAATTTGAAACCTTGAGAACGTTGTTTCAATGGTTTCATCTTCTTCCATTTTGAAGGCCTTATACTTCTGAATGAACACAAGAGCTTTGGTTTCTTTGACTTGCATGTTGCCTTCATACGTCATTCTCAAGGAGTCAAACATGTATTTTGCTAATTCTCTGTTTGTGATCTTCTCATACTATGTGTATGAGATAACACTCAAGAGAATAGTTCTAGCCTTGTGATGATTTCTAAAATCTCTATTTTTATGATCTGACATTCTTTTTTTGTCAATCTTTTGACAGCTTTCATCAACAGTATGTATGAACCCATCAGTCACCATGTCCCAGAGATCAGTGTCATGAGCTAGAAAGAAACTTTTGATTCTGTCTTTCCAGTAACCGAAGTTCTCACCATCAAAAATAGGAGATTTGCTACTGATTCTATCTTTCTCATCATGATAATCATTGCTGATGTTCTGACTTGGTCCCACCATAGTGTTTTTCTTTCTTGAATATTTTTCTGACACGATTATGTGCTTGTGCTCAGAACCAGACGCTCTGATGCCAATTGAATAATGAAAAAACACAAGAAGGGGGTTTTCATAAGCCTCTTTATAGAAAGGGACAATCAGGAAGAACCTATTTTCGAAATGTTTCAGGCTCTCCAAAAATATTCCGAAGCTAGGAATACCTTACACCAGATAAATCAAACCATGGTCATGTGCCTGGGTCGTAGAACTACGCTGTACTTTGAAGAGATGGAAGAAGAGAGACATAAAGGGTTTCCTTTTTAATATTTGCACTAGTGCTTGAAAAATTCAATTTATGCCTAACTTGTAGGGTGAAATTGCGATGGAGCAACCATAAAGTGATTTAAAACTTCCGCTTTAAAGTTATTAAAGGGAAACCAAAAATCCATAATCAAGAAGGTACATTCATAAAAAGGAATGACACATTCGGCATAATCTCTACAAATGATCTTATCTTCATCAGGGGTCAATACACCCTAATCCAAAGACGGATCTACATTCAGAGAGACTTCGTCAAGACCACCCTCTCGGACAAAGACAAAGACAGTTGATGAAGATACATGGCTAATCAAGGAGGTAGAAGTATCTTCTTTTGATTTTTGCCTCATGATGGACATTTCTTTCTCCAACTATAGAAATGAAAGGTGTTGTGTAAAACGCAGGTGACAAAGAAGCAAAGACAATGTCTCAAGATAATGCAAAATTGAGTCTTCAAGAATCGTATGGTAACTTACTAATGGTAATAAATCCTATTAACACTTCAAATCGCCTCGGCGAGGCACTGGAATATTTCAGTTCCTAAAGATAATTATGATGGAACCTATGATAAGACATGTGAATCATGAAGCGCGTTAAAGGTGGGGATTCCAATAAAAGTAATGCCATCTCTTGACTCTCTATTTAAGCTAAAGATATGACTGAGACGAACGGTGCGAATATGACAAACCCTCGCACTGCCAAGCAGAGACGATGCCTTGGGGGAAATTGTTTTGAACCAATCATAATGACCATAGATCACGACCCCAAGGAAGCAATGATTCGTTCAATTCCTCACAGCATATGAAAATTGTTATGGAGAAAAGTATAGGAGATCCATGTCAGGATACATCCAACGACTCTCCGTATCCTAGACCTAAAGATTATCGGGTTGATATAACTGGTCCATTATATAAAGGGCATGCCAATTTCAACTACACAATTTCATTCAATCGTCTCTTTCAAATATTGACTTGAGTATTAAAATGTTAACATTGCAGGTCAACCTCTCCATTCACTACACCAAAAATTCAAGTTCGTCGTGGCACATCTCCTCCAAAAGAATCACAATAATAACATTTGACAAATAACACTATTTTCAGTTTCTATATATGTACAAAGAGAAAGGGGCATTTAGTACTATATATATTATGCATATTTCAAGTTGCAAAACATGGAGTATATGCAATGTATGTGGTTGTTATCAGCTGGATTCTATACGAGGCATATCTGAGCTGACAGAAAAATGAAACTTAAATGCTCTATTCTTTCTATTTGGACTCACATGAAATATCTCTTGTACATTATTAAGAAAACTATAAAACAATGCAGCCATATTTTGATACCTTTGCTACTATAAAGCTAACAAGTCAAGGCCAAAACTTTTTGCAACTTTCAACAGCCTTTTGATTTCGTGTTTCAGTACCACTTTGCAAAAGATACTCAATCATGTATTTCAGGGAGGAACTGATTTTTCTAACACAACTTTTCAAGTACATTATAGTCTTCATCATAATTAAACTTTAGAGATATACTACTTTATGTAACAACTTGCCCTTGATCAAAAAAATGGAATTAGAGACTTTTTGACATTTTGAGTTTCTAATTTTTAGTAGTTATTTCAACTTTTTTGAATCGAGGAATTGACATGATTAGAAATTCAAGGGCCTCATCAATCTATTATTAAGATTCTTTTTTCGATAGCTTCCATATATATAAGACTATATAGCTGAGACATAAAAAACAAAAGAGAATATTGTGATAATTATTTATATAATAAATATATATATCAATAATCAAGAAGCTCAAAACAATGGAATGAAAAAAGAAACTACAAAAACAAACAAATATATAGGTAAGAAAGTGAACTCATTAGGGTTTTGATTTGACCAACACAACTTCTATAGCAGTTACAAATTTACAGCACTTTATATAAAAAATTTGTTATTGCATTTGCATTCCAAAATACCTAGACTCTTCGAAAACAGCAGCATCTTGAGGAATGATTGATCCTTGTTGACAACAACCTTCATAGTCAGAAACCAAAGGTGAATATACCAAAGAGTTCATATCTCCCCAACTAGTACTTTCTGTTGAAGTTGTTGTTGTTATTGTGCTACCATTGCTCATATCAATAGATTCCATTCCATAAAAACCATCAATTGTTCTATTCATTACTTGTTGGTTCTCACATACAAGCTCAGTTAAATCACTTGGAAAATTTTCAAACCCTTGAAATATATTGTTTGTATTACTCACCATGGCTAAAGGGTTTGTGGTCATGTTCATTATGCTTGTGAAGGAAGTTTGATTGTTGAGATCATAGTCAATTATGGATGAATTTGAAACTGGCATAGGATGAACAGAAGAATACTCTAAAGGCCAATAAGGAGTAGTAGTACTCATAGTATTAACACCAGAAGCTGCTGATACCATCAAATTCTGATTACCTGTCTCTCTTTTCATCTCTTGTTTCATGTTGCTAACCCGCCGAGCTCGTTGAGCTTGAGCTTGAGCTTGTTGCTCCTTCCTTTGTTTTCCAAGAAGCTTCTTCTTCAGCCTAGTGTTCCAGTAGTTCTTTATATCGTTATCGGTTCGTCCCGGTAATTGCGCTGCTATGATAGACCACCTGCAAATAAACTTCATTATTCTTATTCTCAAGCAGACAATTCCATCGTGAGCCTAACGATGCAAACGGAAGAATTTCTAAATAATCAGCAAGTTTATAGGTAAAATCTAACTAAAATAACCAATTAGATCACCTGCTTCCAATACTAACATAGAGACTGCAGATAATATCATCTTCTTCCTCAGAGAAACCACCATGTTTGATATTTGGTCGAAGATAATTTAACCATCTAAGACGACAGCTTTTTCCACATCTCTTAAGTCCTAGATCACACAAATACAAACAAGAAGAAAATATGGATAAAATTTTTCAATATATAAAATTTGTTTGATTGATGAAGCTATGGAGCTAGCATACCTATCTTCTGAGGAAGAGCTATCCAATTTCCACCAGTACCATTCTTCTCTATGTAAGACTTGAGTTTGGTATCTTCTTCAGGTGACCATGGACCTTTTTTTACATTGGCTTTGTCACAGCAAGGAGCTCTTCCCATGTTTGTTGATATTAGTTTCAAGTCAAGCCAATCTTTATGACAATAATGATAATGATAATAATGGTGTGTTGTTTATATATAAAGAAAAGTAGGAGTAGGGGTAGAGAAAAATAACCTGGAGAAAGAGAGAGAGAAATTTGGTTTTGAAAAGGTGAAAGGAAAGAAGAAAAAAAAGATGTTACTTTATGACTAAAATAATGGATAATTTGGAAATGCCAGTACAATAGGCCAATGTTTTTCTAATTGTGTCCTTCTTAGTCTAGAATCTCTCTATCAACCTATCATCTCTCTCTTTCTTATATTATTATTTTTTAAATAAGGAAGATGTGAATTATTGTTGTGGATGGGGGATTGAGATCATGAAACTTTTATGCATGGAGAAAGTATGTGGGACCAATTGTAGTGGAAGGTTAAAGTGTGATTACCTCATTTGGTTGAAATGTTCTTTGATATGTATCATGCATAATGCCTAGAGGAGATGAATCTCTTTTGTTACGGCTGAGAAAATAAATTGATGGTGTCATCTACATGTTCTATGAAACCTCCTGGCCTGTCACAAAGGTGAAAATTGAGACTAAAAAAATGGTATTTTTTTTGTACATCTTAATTAATTTCATTAGATTTTAATTTATAGTGTCCATCATTTTTGTTTTATAGTGATTGTATTGGATTGATGAATAAGTTAAATAGAGATCTAATCCTTATATAAGATATAGGTGAACTCTTATGTTTTTAGAGTGTTGGTTTGTTGTTTCTTTCGACACATACTAGGTCTATAAATGGTATATGAAATTTGGATTAAAGGAAACATTTAGAGAGAAAAAAATTTAATTAGTAGAATTTCAAATTAATGTCATGTTGATACAATTAAGATTATACAATGTATTGAAAAATACATGGATATTGAGTGACATTGATGTTAAGTGTGTTATAAAATTATGTTAGTGTTTCAAAAACGTCTCACCAATATTGAAATTTATCAATAATTCTTTTTGTTTGATTTTTTAGATGTGGAAATTCTTGAAGCCGGTTTATCTTCAAGTTAAATATATTTTTAATGGTGGAATAAGATAGATATTTTAAACTATGATTATCTGGGCAAAAAATGTGAAACTCTTAAATTGGTTTACTTTCAAGTAATGTGTAAATTTTAAGATGAAGTATGATAGTTCTTTGAACTGTGATTATCTGTTATGAAAAAATGGTAGAATAAATCAAAGTATTGAGTAGAATCATTCAGAGTTCTAACACACCAAAAAATTTGATGTGTAAGACAACGAACAATAGTAACCAAAATGATTGTCCTCGCGAAAACAAAATAATCTACAATCAATGGTAGAAAATCCAAAACAAACATGAGGAAGATATATAAAAGAAATAAACATAAAGAAACTTGTTTATCTAGTTTTGTGAATGATCTATTCTAGGAGAGAGAACAACTCTTCGATTCGCTATACTTCAAACAATTGTTAGAAGAGATTACAAAAGAGATATAAGAAAATAGTCACCCAAGTTCTCAAAAATGAACTCTATTTTCTACCAAAGTGTTTCTTAGTCTCTCCAATTCTCTACATATAAATCACACATGCCCACAGTATTTAAAATTGTTTCTCAATTCCTTTAGATACCTCCAAAGGTTTTTCGAATTTCAAGAACACAATCATCAGAATTTCTACCCCCGCCTCTCTAAGTTTCCCATAGTGTACTTGCTAAAAATGTATAATGGCACTACTATAGATAACACATTTCACTACGACTGTGAAAGAGATATAATCACAACTGATGGTTTGTGGTAAAGTAGTGAGTGATTGTAAGTGGGTTACTTATAACCACGATCTTATGACCATGGTAAAAAACACAAAAGTGTGTAACTGTTCGTGGGAGTTTCTCGCGAACAATCTCTAGTCTCTTAATTAAAGGTTACTTGCAGGACCGACTACAAGAGTCATATACCTTGTGTTAAGTTTGATAGTGTTTTGGTGTTTAAAATGATTAAAACGTGAAAAGCGTAAATAAGGCAAAAAGGATAAAAGACAAAGAAAGGTAAATGGTAGATAAATTGCAAGACTAAAATGATAAACAAGACTTATAAAAATAAAATGCTTTGAATTTAAAGGTGGACACAATCATGCATTTCTCAGAACTGATTAGTTTCTCTATACATTGGTACTTTGAGTGCTCTATTACAATGTTACAAAATGCGACCCTGAAAATGAATATAATGATTTGCTTAAATAGATGCTAAAACCTACCCGTCGACGGTTACTTTGAACCACTCACGTTGAGAGTTCTTGAGGTGTTGTTTTCAAACTTTCCACATTTTGCTAATGCACGTAGTTGTTAATCGCTTTTTCCGCCACTTACTCTTGCTATCGACCTGCCTGGCCTTCATCGACCTAGCTTCTGCTTCTAGTATTGTCTCGACTGACAAGCCTCTGAATATGTATAATTTCTGAAATCCTGTTGACGGGCCCCAGCTCGTCAATTATAGAATAATTGACACCCCATTTTGAAAAAAGATACCATCTAACTTGTGGCCTAATCCTTAAGTCGAAAATTGCTTGTCAATAAATTTCCCCAAAAATGCCAAGTTCAACGAAGATTCTGACGGCTAAGAACTTTGGCGTCTTAACTTTTGAATTTTCTACTGCACGTCTTTTCAAATGATGTTACGCTCCATGATTGTGTTAGCTCCTAAATTTGACACTCACATATATTGACCTTATTGGCTAAAAATAGATTGAAGAAATCTAAGCTGAAGACACTTCGATAGAAGAGCCTATGAAAGGAGTTGTGTCGAAGTCATCCTTGCTAAGAAGGAAAAAAAACTTAGAGAATTTTCTAAGTTAAAGAAAGTTTCGGCCGAAAAGCTCTTGTATCAGCAGCAAGTGAATTTGAATCTGAAGAAAGGAGGGAAAGAAAATTCATTTGGCAGTTGGGAAAGGCGGCGTGGAATGAAGATAAGGGTCGAAGAGCATGCAGATGATGCTTTCCCTCATCTTGGAAAGAAGAAATTGTTCAAAAGTTACTTATTATTAGTATAAATATAGGAATTTTGTGTGTTCAACTCATTGTACAAGTAACTCAATTTTATTCAAGTACCCTATATGAGAGAAAGAATATTGAGAATGTACGTTTGAATCACCATACTTTATTGCAATCAAAGTCTTTACATTTCTTTACAATGCTTACCATTTAACATTTTTCTGCAAACTTTTCCATTACAGTCTTTTAAATTACTACAAATTTACTTTATCTTGTACTTTACTTGCGTTTTTACCAAATTTTTACCTTCATCTTGTGCATTTAAACCTATCGAAGCCTTTACTCTGAGTGTCCAGTCGAACTTGTTCATTAACAATGTTAAGACTTCTTATCAAACCCCAAAAATACTTAGCATATGTCCTAGGATCAAACTGATCGATCCTACAAGTAACCAAAATAACTTTTTTTGGAAGATCAGCAGTTGTTTACCAATTTTCACGGTAAACAAATTGGCACATCTGGTGGGAAGTTGCTAAGTTTTTGTTTTTTTTATAAACTTCGATAAAAATAGTTTTTATCATAAGTGCTTTACATAATTTCCTTTCTCTCAAAAGTGTTGTATGTTATTGAGAAGTGGTAAATCAACCACCAAAGGGTACATACCTAGGAGAAGAAATAGGAGAATGACTAATCGTAATCAACCAAGTAGTGGAGAAATGCCTCCACCAATTCCCGCGGGAATAACGGTTATACCAACAGTTAGTGAACCTGTGACATCATCGGTTGGTTCGACACCCACATTGGCAATTACACAAACATGACCGATACTTTCTTATGTAGGTCCTAAGGGTCCACCGGGAACACCCCTACCAAGGGAAAATCCGGGAGTTCGACCTTATGTCCCTCTAGGATTTTCAACAGCCTGGATGGGTCGAGAACAACCCTATGGCATGCCAACTGCTGAAATGGACAGCCTTATGAATGCCTCATCCATATTTTCAGAACCTTTGGTGAGTGCATCTTCTCCATTGTAGGGATTTGGAACTAGTATGGCAAATCTGGGTAGAAACCAACTCTTAGGAGGGACATCCCATATAATGCCAAGCCTCATAAATGCTTTTGTAACAATTTTGAGGCAACAAATGGATGAGAGTAACAATGACATGGTGCAGATGTTGGCACAAACCTTGAGTATAGTACTTAACCATCTGAGACAAAATACCACTCAGTCGAACCAACAAATGGCAGCGTAAATTACGCGCATGGCCGAATTTTTTGGGGTTCCTTAACCTATCAGACACCCCCAAAGAGAGCTGATAAGAGGAAATTAGGGTGTGGTCTTAGAGGATGACATGAGCATTAACCATAATCCACAGCCAGATGGGATGAACCATAGAGTGGAGGTCGAACAACCTAGGGTCGAAGTACCCAAGGTTTCCCCACAAATCTCAAGAGTTGTCGAACAAGGTTTAGTTGTTGTAAATAGAAACCAAAATGCGGATGAGTTAATACAGTAGGTTCGACCCCATAACCATGCAGCAGATAATAACTTGACAGCCATGGTCGAAAGAATCATGACACAAAATGGAGTGAACGTTGGATTTCATAGGCCAAACTTTACATCTCCATTGTTATATTATATCTTGCAATCAGATTTACCCCATAGGTGAAAAGTTCTAAAGTTCACCAAGTTTTCAAGGGATACGACAGAGTCCACTGTTGAACATGTGGCAAGGTATATGATAGAGGCTGGGGAATCTCAAATAATGAAAATCTTAGGATTAAGTATTTCCCAATCTCCTTATCCAAAAATAACTTCACTTGTTTTACCACACTCCCATCCAATTTGATTTACAATTTGAATAAGTTGGAAAGATTGTTCAATGAACAATTTTATATGGGAAAAACCAAAAAAATCTGAAAGAACTGGCTAGTGTGAAGAGGAGATTCATTGAGCCAATTTATGAGTATTTGAATATATTTCGACTGCTCAAAGCCAGATGCTTTACACAAGT